TTGTACGGAGATACACTGGCGTGCAAAAAAATCGGGCCACCTAGAGAAAATGGACAAACTTAAGATATGATATTTTTTTATTAATTTTGTTATTATATATGGGTAGCTGTATACCCTATGACCTAATTCAATAATCGTTGAATAATTTAAATAAAAATTATTGCTCGAAAATAGAGGAAAATCAAATTTAATGATTTTTCGCGAGTTTGGCATAAAAATGTAAGCCGCAAATTAATGGGAAAATTAAAAGATTTCGATTGGTTTTATGATTTTTAATAATGCGTATTACCGCCTCTATTTTTAATTACAACTTTTAATCGGTTTTTCAGAGATTTGACACACTTTTCTAGATAATCTGGTGTAATAGACTCCCATTCTTCCAATAAGGCGCTTTTTAATTCTTGAATGTTGCTCGGGACTACTACGCGACTTCTAACTTTTCTTTTGAGATGGTCCCATACATGCTCTATCGGATTGAGGTCAGGGCTTCGCGCTGGCCAGGCAATAGTAGAGACTCCGACCTCTTGAAGATACTGCCTTACTGATGTAGCAGTGTGTGGGCGAGCATTATCTTGTAGAAGCAGAAAATCTTCTCCAATGAACCCAGTAAAAGGCATCACTTGATCTTTTAAAACCTCCGTTATATACCTAGCGGCTGTAAAAAATTGTCAACAAAAAATTATGCTTAAAATTAAGGGTGGCCCGACTTTTGCACGCCTGTGTATATTACTTCAATCCATTATTAATATCGTAAGGAACTTAGTGTTATATATGACGTTTATCTACTAGACTATATATTAATACCTACAACATGCTTTACCTTAAATCTCTTGACGCCTGAAAGTAATTATTCAAGATAAACTCGACAAGCTAAAATCAGATCTATTTAGTGTCTAACTGTGCCTATAACTAAATTACCTGAGCGAAGCTAGGAAATTCAAATAAAAAATATTGCGGGAAATAGGTTCAGATTTTATCGGTACTAATTGTATTATGGAAAGCTGGAAAATAATGTTATAAATTATTATTCTATAAACTCTTCTAAGAGCAAAGTGCAAAATCATCATACTTTATTCACTAGATACAAATAATAATTCGTATAAATATAAAATAATATTTCTACATTTTGTGCTTATCAAAAGTAAAGTAAAACGCTAAAGTAAATTATTAGCGGAGTATTTTAAATCGTTACGTTTCGTTACCTAACTTACTTATTATTGTGACCGACAAAAACAATATTACGTTACATTACACACCTGGGTCTAGTTAGCTTACAATCACCAAACATGACCGTGTTTTTATCATATGAACAGTCCATATGCCATCGATAGTCATGTATCATTTCTGGTGTGATATAAAATTTAAAACTGACAAAAGTTTTAGTTAAACTTGGTCAAGTTCATATCTGACTTACGGGTTTTCGATGAATTAGGAATAGATAGATAACTACAGTTTGTATTTCTTTTTCTGTATTAAAAAGCTTGTGAAAACTAAGCTTCACAGCTTAGCACACCGTCGCCAAGTTGCTTGTCTGTCGGTTTTCTACAGACTGTACTTCGGGGAGTGTGCCCACGAGCTCCACAGTCTCATACCGCCATCGCCATTCTTCTATCGGAACACCAGACGTACTGCAGGATACCATCCTTTCTTGGTTGACATTCCGACCACTCGCACTAAGCGCTATTCGTCATCTTTTATAATGCGCACAGCCAAGATGTGGAATGCGCTGCCTGCGTCTGTTTTTCCGAGTGCGTATAACCTGAACCTATTTAAGGTGCGTGTTAACAGGCTTCTCCTGGGCAAACTCGCTAGATCGTAGACCTTATCTGTGTCTTCGAGCTAAGATAAAGGTCAAGAGTGAGCCCATTTCTAATAAAAAAAATGTATACTCTATCTCTTCCATACTAACCATTAAAACGTACCTAAGGACAAATGTCTTCTCGTAATGTCCTGTAATGAGTCGCTAGTAAGTAGGTAATAAACGAACGCCTAAAAGATATATATATATATATATATATATATATATATATATATATATATATATATATATAATCGTGGAACAGTTATTAATTCATGTTATAATCAAAGCTTAGAGCTTTACATCTCTTGTTTTGAATATTATTTAGGTGCATTGTGCGAGACGCGTCGTACACGTTGCTTCAATACGTAGTCACTTTAATGTTGTGAATACGGGTAAAATATAACGTAACGGGTAAATTGCTTTTATTTTACTAATCTTTATACATGTTTTATGTATTATTTACAGCAATTTATTACTATGAACCATCCAGCTTTGCACAATTACTGTTCAGTATTAGAGTTGTATCGAAGAAACCGCTAATAGTCAATATGACACTATCGTACAATTACGCATAAGCTTTTATGCTTTTAAGCTTTTATTTTATTTTTTTATGCTTATGTGTACAATAAAAATAGAACTATTAGTTCTCAAATTACTTGTGGCATATTACATTTACTTTAGCTACTTAGTATTCATAATTTTAATGTATTAGTATGTTTTATTACAAGTTTTTTTAAAACGACAACCACAAAGTGTAACTCTTGATTTACGTATATTATATAAGAATCCACGGAATAAGGGGCTTAATATCTTTAGATCTTTTAATTCGGGCACTTATTTTATCTAATTTCTTATTATAATAAGTTTCAAGTGGTCAACTGACATACAAACGATAAATTTTTTTAATATTAATTAGTATTATCACTTTTTCGTTATACACAAGACAGTTCATGGTTTATTGATGGATACGAAGCGAATTCAAAAATATAATACGTTTCAAGATAGTTATAAAAATTTAAATGGCTGGATTAAAAACAAACACCTATACCTAAATATGTATCATGGTGTTACCTTTTTTTTTTAACGTTGGGAAATGCATTTACGCACGACGTGTGGGACTCACCGGCGTAATACAACCAGTACTACCCACTAAAACCCAACAAAACCTTCCCCCGTCTTAATGGGGCGTCGCAGGATTGCTTACGCATTCAACTACGACGCCCCGACGGCAGGTCTGCCAAAGCAGACCACCACAACCATGGGGTTGCTCCAAGGTCCGCTCTGCTATCAGAGAAGTACCAGGAGCAACCCGCAAGGTACACCGCCCCCCGAAGAGGGCCACCTCCCACCGCCCACCGAAGTGGGCAACCTCCCTGTGCGTTTCTTAGCTTCGCTACAACTACTGAGCCCCCCCACCACGACAAGGTGAACGCACGTTGGGGGGGATCACGGTGTTACCTAACCCAACATTTTTAATCGCAATTTTTGTATTTTTGTATGAACAATATCCAAATAATTTAATTCATACTTCGATACTCATATTATAAATGTGAAAGTGTCTTTGTTTGTTTGTCCTTCTTTCACGTTGAAATGGAGTGACGGATTGGCGTGATTTTTTGTGTGGAGATAATCGGAGGGCTGGTTAGTGACAAAGGCTACTTTTTACCGCGAGAGTTTACCTGATTCCCAAATAAACAAACTAATACACTTTCGTATTTATAATATTAGTATGGATATGTAGAATAAAATCCTGGCAAAAATATTTTGTACGAAATATAGATAGTACCATCTTGTAACGGATCATCACGTTCTCGAAAACGGCTCTAACTCTTTTGAGAAAAATTATACAAAACAATCACTGTCAAATTTTTTCCAGCTTGTATTGAACATTAACATGTAATGGGGATAACATTATATTCTTGAGTTTAAGAAAACCTAGCGATAAGGCTTAGGCGAGCGAGAAATGATGTGTAGTGCTAAGCTATTATCGACAGGTGAAAAAGATAAGTCTAAATAGTACCATCACACAGGATTTGCCACTGAGCTTTAAAAAAAACAAAAATGAGTTAATATTCTGCGTCGCATGTCCACTTCTCAATTCGTGCCCTGAGCTACATATATGTATATGATGTTGTCAGGTGAAATCATGTAAAAAGTAAAAAGCAAACTACCTACTATTGCATTTTAGTCAGATAACACCGCTAAATTATAAAGCAGTAGAAAACACTGGCATCTTTCCTCTTTACCTTTCATGCGTTATATTTGACTTCACCCCTCGTATTTATTTTCTTCGGTTTCTCTCAACTCTTTTATTCAATACCTTTTTTGTTGTTGGCCACATATTCATATTACCTACCATTAGTGTACTGATTTCTTATGCTACGTATTTCCGTCATACAACATATCCATCACAGCATTTTCTATTGGATGCTATCTTTTTCAATCCGAGGTTTGTGGTCCAAAAGTCACACAACTCATTTCAAACAATTTTAATGAAGGTAAAATTAATTAATGTTAGATATTAAAGTCGCCCTTCCAGTATTAGCTCATAACTTAATATTTTATTTATTTAATATTATTACATAAGCATTTTATAAAATTAAGTTATTAATGTACCCAAAAAGTTAATGACTTTTTGAGTAACTCTGTACTCGCGCTTGGCTTCGGTCCTTACGCTACGAGTTGAAAGCTCGCGAAACATCCTCTATACCGCAAGAACCCTTTCCCGCTATGAAAAGTCTATACATTCGATTAAACCCTCTACCCGCCTGTGAAAGGACCGTATCCTGTTGCGTGGGCTATTGTATCGTGCGACTATGTATACTAGTGATGGCTTAATGGTCGAAAATATGTTCTCATTCATTAAATTGTAGTATTATTGAGGTTCTTTTGTAAAAATTACATATGTAGGTAACCTGTCTCAATTAATAGATTATTGAATGCGGACGAATTTTTTGAAATTGCTTGAAACGTAAAACGTTTGACACGTGCAGACAAATAAACAAAAGCTTCATCTTTATATATTAGGATTTATATTGGCTGTGTAGCATCACAGTGCCGCTATGAGAAGCAAGGTAAATAAACATATATAAAGAATGCGAACGCAAAGAATATGCGGGCAAAACAATACAAAAAAATAATAAAATAATCCTTAGTACATGCAATATGGATAAGTTATAGGTGTATTTTGTATTCACAGGGCGCATTTAAGGGATATCCGCGATCGGTCAGTATTGCGACTGTTCGAAGCGACGGATATCGGAGGCGGAGTCTTCCCCGGAGCTATGGGTGTCGGGTCAGTGCCTATGCCGACGGGAAGCTCGAGCTGTTCGTCATCAACATGGGATGTAAGTTATGTTAAAAATATCCTTTGTTATTACTTATTTTCTTTTATTCTTTAATATTTAAAGGTCTTTGAATCTCTTGAGATTATGTCAGACCTATCGTATCACAAAAACATATATTCATCTACATTGCTGGTGCTTCCTTGTTTTGAATTATAATGACTAAAATTTTAAGAGCTCGTTTGAAAATTAAACGTAATAAAATATTACCACACTCTACTAATATACATACAGCCGTGTAACGAAGACGTCTAGACTGATGCGATACCGATTGTTATTTTTTCTTTTGTATGATGGTTCGGTATGATTTTAATTAACTTGCCAGGAGAGCGTTTTTACTTTGAAACCGTTCGCCATGAAAATTGGTATCTTTTGACAACCCTTGCATTTGATAGTATTTGCGTTAAATTCAATGGGTATTTTTTTACTTTTAATATTACTGAGTATTAAGTAATGAACATATAAAAACAAAAGCATTGATAAGGCTTGATAAAAGTTATTGGATTTTTTGAATACTATGTCACTGCAAGCTGTGTGAGAAACTGAAGAACCCACGAATTACTAGATATAAGGATAAATGTGTATTTCTTTATAGATAAATATTTTTTATATAGGTATGTGTGTATGTGTAGATGTAAGTACGATGTGGTCACTTTAAACGAATATGCAAACGCACACATGCACGAATATATACGTCAAAAAATGCTTACATTAATGCTTAAAAAAATTATACACGAAAAATATCTTTTTAGTTTCTGTAAAGCTCCAGATCAAACACTTTTGTATCCTTTGTTCTCTAAGCACAGTACAATATTTTTATCTTCATTTCAATTTCATGTTATTTCTCTTGCAATATAGACAAATGGCTGTGTTCATAGTGAAATATCACACTGACATTTTTATCTGCAGCGAGATAATGCTTGATGCCTGACGGTCACAAAGATCGTGCTATCATTAGGCTGGTACTAGCGTCTCTTGTGATGACCTAGCTATCTACTACGACTTCGCACGCTCATAACTTTCATTTATTCTCTTAATTAGCGACTTACCCTATTTCTTATTCGAAAATAAAAGAAGCCGATGTTACTCCTTATAGCATTAGCAAATTCCCGTCAAAATCAGTCCATTCATTTCGAAGGTTTCATAACAGATAGACAGACAAAAATTATAAACTGTGTGTTTTTCTTACTTGTACCATATATTCTTTCATATATGCATTTAGAAAAAAGCTTTTATTTTGACATTACAAGCAGGGACTTTAATTTTATTTATTTGTATAAAAAAATAAGAGCATAAATACCAAGCCAAATCAATTTAAATAAGCCAGAATAATTTCTCAATTCTCATACGAGTACAAATGCTCCCCTTTTTATCCGGTAGGAATTGAGTTACACGAAATCGATCCTTAGTTCATCTATGACGATAATCCATTCTATACAATATTATAAATGTAAAAGTAACTCTGTCTGTCTGTTACAATTTCACACCTAACTACTGTACCAATTTTACTTAAAAAAAGTACATTTAGTAGATAAGAGATATAGATTAGTTATCATACACCCTTTACCCTGTACGGAGAAACTTGCTATTTGATAGTAGTAAATAATTCCAGTCAACATTGCGTTATTGTATATTGTCGACTTTGGTGCAATAAATGTTGTTATATTCTAGTAGAAGTTGTTTGTATTGTAAAAGTAAACTAAGTCTAAGAGAAATAAATACGAAGTAGTTACTACTGATTTTATAACACTACTTCATTTTATTGCAGGAACAGAACTACTTCTCGGAACCAGAGATCGATTCCGACTATCATTCGCAACATGTTCACAACAAGAATAAGGTAAGTAAAAACAATTCTTTTAACTACCTACTTTTATTGAAGTAAAACTTGTTTAAGCGTGACTGATTTGTACGTATATAGATTACGTACGTAATAAACTATGAAAGTTTCTATAGGTAATCAATAATTTCTCAAGTAAGGGTTGCAAAACTCCCCCCCAACGTGCGTTCACCTTGTCGTGGTGGGGGGGCTCAGTAGTGCCCGGCAATCCAACCGGGCGCGAAGCCAAGAAACGCACAGGGAGGTTGCCCACTTCGGTGGGCGGTGGGAGGTGGCCCTCTTCGGGGGGTGTACCATGCGGGTACTTCTCTGATAGCAGAGTGGACTGTGGAGCAACCCCATGGTTGTGGTGGTCTGCTTCGGCGGACCTGCCGTCGGGGCGTCGTAGTTGAATGCGTAAGCGATCCTGCGATGCCCCATTAAGACGGGGGAAGGTTTTGTTGGGTTTTAGTGGGTAGTACTGGCTGTATTACGCCGGTGACTCCCACACGTCGTGCGTAAATGCATTTCCCAACGTTAAAAAAAAAGGGTTGCAAAACTGAATAATACCTATGTATCTACATATAAATATGTATTATAATATATAGTCTATATATTGCATACTAACCGTCAAAATGTACCCAGGAACCAACCCGAGCGTAGCGAGGGTGAGTCGCTAGTTAATAATAATTTTATAAAAAATATATTTATGTTTTGATTTGTTTTAATTTAATTTTGGTATCTGCCACAACGGTCTATTACTAGATGTATAAGCATATATTATTGTTTCACTGTAGTAGGTGTCCTATCTCATTCATTAGGGGAGCCGTGCCGTATCCCTCAAACAAGGGAGTTTCCGCTAATCTGAAACCTAATCTGACTGACATAGCTCAGTTTGAATGAGATTAATTAATTAACAACGTACCGATACTCTGAAATCTACATTATGGTTGATGCAATAACAAGTATTAACTTTAAAACACACTTAAATGTTAAAGTATACAATCCTTTTGTATTCATTTTATTATTTCAATGTAAATAAGCTCTCAATGCAAACTTTCGTACAATTTCATTGTCATCTGTTTATTTTGAACATAATATGCAACTTCCTCTTTCCTTTCATTTGAATTTAATTTCGAGAATTGAGTGAGGGCTTTCCTTTGTAATATGCATTGACTATTTAACCGACTTTCAAAAGGGAGGAGGTTCTCAATTAGTCGGAATCTTTTGTTTCTTTTTTTAACTATATTCACCGATTACTTGAAGACGCCTGAACCGATTTGGATATTTTTTTTGTTTTGAAAGGTATACTTCCCAGGTGGTCCTATTTAAATTTTATCGAAATCGGACGAGCGGTTTTAAAAAAAGCCAACAATAAATTATTTTATTAAATAAATTGCTAGTTATTTTTTACATTTTAGTGCTTGGAGTCGGTTTTTATTAAGTTTTTTTTGATAGATGGTGGTATGATCTTGATCATCTATATATATAAAAGAAAGTCGTGTTAGTTACTTCGCTTATAACTCAAGAACGGCTGAACCGATTTAGGTGAAAATTGGCAGGGAGGTAGTTTAGAGCCAGGAGAAGGACATAGGATACTTTTTATCCCGTTCGACCGCGTTCCAATTTTTATGATATTTTAATTTTTGGATTTCTCTTAGTCCGGAATAGGTAAGTATTAAAACATATAATTAAAATGTGAGAAAGAAAGATTTTTTCTTTTTATATCTATTCAAAACGTACCTAGCGACGAACCCGAGCGAAGCGTGGGTGAGCCGCTAGTAATAAATAAACCATCATATTAAACTAGCTATACTAAGAACGAAATCTTTTTATTCATCTATCATTTTGTTTTGATACATGCACAAAAATCTTAATTAAATATTATTATATACTTAGCATATTACATCTACTTATTATAGCCGTAGGAAATTATATATGTAGGTATTTATCCCCTACCTAGACGAGCACGTGCACCACATAAAATAAAACTAAAATAAATATTGTAATATATGTATATTAATTAAAGTGGTAACAATAATAAGAAGCTAATACTAGAGCTACACAACATAACAACCTTAGTAAATTGTAAATGTATGAACAAAATTAGCAATACTATCATCTTAAGACTATAATAAATAAATTGCGATGGCAAGTTCAAAATGTTGAATTAAAATAAAACTTTAAAACCCGCCATAGCCAAGTGTGATTGTAATTTCTCTATGATGTTATTTACATTTGTTAGAATGTGACAGTTTAACAAGTTTTTGGCGGGTGGAACTGGTTTCTATATTACTGTAACTTAGTTGCAATTTATAAGTTTTGGCAAAATAGGCTTATTTGCCCAAAAATAATTGTTAATCTATGTAATATTACTTAAATATTATTTTATCATCAATGAATATTATCTAGAACAAGGGTCATTGGAAAAGTGTCGAATTATTGTTAAGAGTATGTCTAATAAACTATTTAAAATTTATCATATAATTATCAGGCAGCTTTGTACAAAATCTACATTGAAAATTTTCTAACCATAAGATAGATTGAATCTAAATTCATGTAATGATCTAAAATGCACGGCAAATAGGCAATCCTTTATAGTAATGTGCTCCGCTATAAAGTTTCTTAGGTGTAGCCCTCCAGGATAGAACAAGAGCTTTTTTGAATGGTTCAGGAGTGCACCCACTGCAGACTTGCATTACCGCTTTCACTTCAGCTTCCGCTGGTTCCCTTTCATCAACCTGGAAAAATTTTTTTTAAATTTACGTCCTCGTACGCGGTAAGTTCCACATAACCACCTGTATGCCTACAGGTGGTATGTGTAAGTGCATTTTCCAACATTAAAAAAAAGGCTTGTTGCATGATATTTGTCAACTCACATTCATCTTTTGCAAATTTTGAACTGGTAAGTTTCCAACGACTCCAGCTAAGCCATTAAGAAGTGATTGCTGGAACAATATTTCATCCTCTTTGTCTTCAAGACCATTAGGAGTTAATAATGCTTCGTCAATGATAGAACCATCGGATAAAGCTACGAGGCCACGTTTATCTTTTTTTCCTATTTGAAAACGAAATATAAATAAATATTAATATTATAAATAAATATTATTGTGTAAAAGTAAAATTTACTAATGTATAAATTTCATGGGAGCTTAAATAATGTTATAAATAATAATACCTGTAGGAATTTCTTCTGTTAATTCTTTTTCAGGATTATCTCTCTTGTCACGTTTTTTGGAATCTCTCTTGTACAAATTATGTGAGTTTGCTGTATCATCGATATATTGTACATTAGCAGGATTAAGTAGTGAGCCAGATAGAAGTACTGTCGTTCCTTTTGATGGGCCAAATGGTCTTGTTTGGAATCTTTGGCCTTGATCAATCGGGGAAACTGATAAGCCTACTAATGGGATATGTTGGACATTGCTATTGACTTGATTACTTGCAACCGGCTGCACTGTATTAAGAAGTTGTTCAGAAACAATTCTGTTTCCTAGTTGCCCGTTAACGTATTCTTGTTGTATTTGAAGACCATTAGGGAGCTGGACAGGTATCATTTGTTGTGGACGAGCTAAGTTAAGATTAGCTGGCCTTTGTAATTGACCCCCTATCAAAAAATTGCCATTGCCGAGAGGTGTTGCTGGAGGTGGAGGAGGCTCGGTTCCTGCTTCTGAAGATGTTTCGAATGGCGTACCATCATGCTTGAAATGATGAACATGGTGATGTTTGTGATCTTTGTGGGCTTTTCCGGCAGTTAGTGCGACATGGTAGACTTGGAGCATCGTAATTTCACCAATCAGACCAGATTGCTCTGAAATTTATAATTGCTGGTAATTATAGCATTCATGAAAGTGGAAAGAAACAGTGTGACATGTTCATGCATTGTAAAAATGGATTTGTATTCTAACAAAAAAAAAAACAATGAAAAATTTTAATTGAATTTTAGGGATAAGCTTTTAAAATCCATATTGTTTTTTGACAAAAAAAATAAGCGTGGCGTGGATATCATAATAAAGAAGAAATTAACCCAACGTACTTATAGTAGGTTCTTCGCCATTGTTTTTGTATAGAAGAGATTGCTCTTGACCGCTAATTGCTGTACCACCACCCTTTATAATGTGCCCCACGAGCTGTAAATTAAATATAAGAGAATAAAATATCATAAATTTCTATGGTAAAAAATATCTTTAAATCTCTTTTAAATACATTTGAAATACAATCTCACAATACTTTTAATTAACAGTGATTGTACTATTAATTAATGAATCGTTTCAATGTCGCCTAATTTTAGAATTAATTGTATAAAATCATCCTTTATTAGTTTGCACCCTGCATTGTGTGATTATATTAGGTATATAACTGTCCTTCTCAATTATTAACAAGTTAAACTTGTTAATAATTGAGAAGGACAGTTGAATACTGATGAAATGCAGGAAGTCAGTTTCAGAACACGCCATAGTGAATGTAATAAATGAAATCTCTGAGATGGACAACATATCTTCGAGCTTGTTATCAAACTGTTCAACCATCCCATATTTCTCACATGTGTATTATTCACTTATTCAACTACTTCAGTATGTCACGTTATGACAGTGGGGTTCTAATATTGCAATCAAATGAAAGATCTGCTCATTGATTCCTACTTATAATGATATATAATATAATACAGAAGATAAAATATCATACCCTATTGTGGAATCCTCTGCCAACTCTTTCGCCATTCACCCATATTTGCCATTCGCCAGTTTTTCCATTCCAAGATTGGCAAGAATGATACCATCTAAAAAATAAGAAACTCGTTAGAATAATCCATAGTTAATGCCACAACTGATTTTGAGTTAGCTTTTGTGAAACGTATTACGCTACATCATGAACGATCTACGGGCTATCTGAAATGCAAGAATTTGTTAAGGCTTCGTTCGAATATTGCCTGGATTCAATGTCACCTCTATTCATTTCTTTTAATCGAGTCTATGGCTGATCCGTTAAAAATATAGTTTACCTTGATGTCTTTAATTTTAGTTTTAGTTATAATTAGATGGTCAATATTATATTAACCGGAGTTCTTTAACTTAATAGTCTAATGTATATCATCACGATATAGTAGACGGCCGTTAAATATATCGAACGTTGGGTAAATAATATTCAAGTAAAATTTCTTGAGACTTCGTTACTTTACCGAACTTTGCTGAACCGTAGCTGAAGATTTGGCGTTACATTTACTATTTTAAAGTACTGAGGCAAACATGCATGCAAAAAACATATTTAGAACGTCGAGGAGGAAATATTATATTTAGATGATTTTGAAGATGTCTTTTTAATGAAAAGTCATTTTTGATAAATGTACATATTTGAATATTTTGAAGATACCCATAAATATATAGGTAGTGGTAGCCCAGTGGTAACGCGCTCACTTGGGAAACCGAGTGAAGTGGGTTCAAATCCCGGGTCTCGCACCTCTGATATTTTCATGTGCGAATCATTTCCAACATGATTACCACTTGTCTTACGGTGAAGGAATACATCGTGAGGAAACCTGCATGTCTGAGAGAACCTAGAAAGTTTTTGAAGACATGTGAAGTCCGCCAACCCGCACTTGGCCAGCGTGGTGGACTATGACCTGATCCCCCTCGTATAGAAGGGAGGCCCGTACCCAGCAGTGGGACGTTAAAAAAAAAGGGCTGAATACAACAACAACAATACAACCCATAATATACTCGTAACTAAAAAACGAGTCACATTGAAAACGCGCTTTTATTGCCTTTAAAAAAACAGTCGTTCTCCTGCTAGCTATATAATACATATGTATCAGAATTGCGTTGCATTTCTATTAAAGGGCCGCTCGGAGCGAGTGAGTATAGGAACGCAGTTATACATTGCTGGACGTCCTTTGCATTAAATTCAGCGTTGATAGACAATATTTACCTAACGGCAGGGCCGTGCTATGTTACGGTGCTATGATGCATAGAGGCGGCCGCATCAGTCGGCAAAATATAGGGATGCCATTTTGAGCCTTCGAATACATACAAATATACCAAAATATTTAACAGTAAAATCCATACTTTCATACTTAATATTATAAATATGAAAGTGTGTATGTTTGTTTGTCTGTCTGTCTTTCTCGTCGAAACAGAGTGATGGATTGGCGTATTTGTGGAAACATATTATACGAGCACAATGTTTAAATTATAAAATGATAATTAGGATGGTCATTATAAAGTCAGTTTTTTAGGCTAGATCACTATTTTAATATTTCTTTAAATTATTTTCTTAATGATTCTGAGTTACTATACTACTACTAAGTGTTTCATTTCATTTACTATAGATTTTCATCTCTGTCATGTTAAAAAAATTGACTATCGTTTAGTAGGATCGTTGCTATTGTATTGTGAATGAACTGCACGTAGATATAATTTTATTACTGCAAACGTAGCAGCATCCGCTTTGTTATAGAATAACACGTTTTAACACTTATTATAAACATAGCATTTTTATAGTGCTTAACGCTACTTAGGTTTTGATACGATGGAAAAATATTATAGCTTAATTTAAGTAGTAAGTATTTGATTTTTTTGATCACCATATGAAAGTATTATATAAATCACAATAGAAAATACGTTTGACGGTGAATGCTCATATTGTAGAGCATTATTACAATTTGTATATGAAATATAGTTAAAAAATATTAACTACCTATTTAAAAGTACATAATGGATTTAAAATATTACTAAGTTTCAACTTACGTGTTAAGTTTTAAAGGGTAATTAAGCCTGAAAAACGTTTGTCCGTGAATTGCCATACTAAAATAGCTCGCCTCTTTGGTGTTCGATATCCATGCTGAAATCTCTTTCGGGCTATCGTCAACTGAAACAATATGATACATTTAGAAGTATTCTCTCTAATTTTAAACGTTTAAACTTGCACATTCTTATCATGTTATTAAAATCGGTGATTTTTTGCTGTAAAGGAGTTAACAAACTAAACAAAAACTAAGTACTTTTTGTTTATACAAATACGTACTTGTATAAGTTAATTAATATTAACACAGGAGGTAAATTATTTTATGTAGTTATTAAATTGTCACATAATAAATGTTTATCTATATAGTTTTTCTAGAAGGCTGTAATTAAAAAAAAAGATGTTGAAGAAAATATTTTTTTCCAACGATCGGAGGTAGCTTGCTATGATTGTTAACTATGATTTACTATGTACCGGGAATTCTTTGAACAGAATAATATTTTTACTTGTTACACACATATAACGCTTTTGAGACGTGTAAAACCTTAGTTTCTCCTGTGACCATGATTGAAACGTCATGAACCAAAAATCAAAATAACTCCGCGAAATAATCCGAAAAGATAGTTTTATTTAAACTTAGCGTCAACCGATTGGTGGACTGCTGCTTACACGTGGTAGCAATCATTTTTTAGTTATCAAATGGTCATTATAATTTAAGAATTATATTGTAAAATTTCATTTACATCGACTGTATTCCGATATTTAAATTGAATATCTATAAAGGACCCGACCGGACAGGCATACTATTACAATATATTTTTTACTTTAAGTGCCAGGAAATCCGTTCACATTTTATAAATAAAAAGTTTTTATTTGTATTTTAGAAACTGTCTGACAATGAGTTAGCCTACTAATCTCAAATGTATGTATATTCTAATCGAGTTAAATATTATAATTTGATTATATAATATCGTTCGTTCGAAGAGAAAGATTGGATTGCAATATTATGGCTTTAATGTGTCGTAAATTATCTTGATAATATTAAACATCAGGATATTATGCCAAACTAGTTTACCTTTCTCAAGCTATTTCGAGTTCTACATTGTAAAATTAAAGTCTTAACCACATTTCACCTTTAAATAAATTTTGTCCGACTTGTTAAAAGGAAGATATACTGAATTCGAGTGTATGCTTTTTTGAGTATGTTACGTGATATCTGCGCCAATCGTTAGCCGGTTTTTAAGATTATGTTTTCGTAAGTAGCTTAGTTACCTCAAAGGACGTCATATCACGTGGGACACTGCGTAAGTTTCAAGAAAAAAATTACCCCTGATGACGTATTAATTACTTTTAAAGTAATTTTAAATAAAATAAAGATATCATAAATTGCAAAAGATGTAACAAACAAGATAATATTGAATATAAAATTTTTAATAAGTTACTTTTAATCAGATCATGATGAAGTGTAAATTTTAAATCCTGTACAATATTTTACTTAAAGTTTTAATAGAGCTCTAAATATTTTTTACTATAAAAGAAAATCTGAGAGCTTTCATAATATTAAATTAATTAATATTATTAAATTAGTTAAAAAGTATGTGGTGAAAAGTTATTCTTAGTCTTATAAGTGAATGTTATATCAATTGGATACAAATTGGCGGTGTGTACAGGGTTTGATCACGACTTAGTTTGCTTACGCAATGTATCTCCGCTGCCACACCACATTTTGTAACGTACATATGTCGAAGTAGGGTTTTATCTCATGAATTTTAACGCTCACACCGGTACTTGTGAAGGTCTTTAAACATATAAGGTACCGTTGAATTGGCACTTGCAAATCATGCTATTACCATTTAGGTACTTATCTTCATAAGATCTCAACGCTAATCAAGCATAAGTTAATAATAGTGTAGAAATTCAAATTTAAGTTTGATGCTGAATACATACGTACAAAATATGCTTATAGAAATACCGTTTTATTTTCGTTACGAATAACAGATTGTTCAAGTAGATCATTAAAGGCTATATAACGTTCTGTTTTTAGTTTTCGTCTTTATGAGAGGTCCAGATAGATTTTCGTTTGCTATTCATTCTTTTTGGGTGATTCTTTTATTTTATATTCCGATTTTAGAATAAAGCCCTTAATTGGACAGGCGTATGCGGGACATCTCTTTGTCGAGTAACATGGTATTCGTTACCAGTATCAGATAACCGGCGTTTCATAGTAAAGCTGACGGCAATTTGCGAAAAAAGGCAAAATATTAAAATTTTGAAATGCCCGATGTATTTTAGTGAATTTATACGTATCCTGTGTTTTGAAATTTTATTAAGTTTATTTAAAATAATTTCGTCTTGATACAGAATTTGGAAATAAGATCAAACATTTAAAACCAGTTATTTAAATGTTGCTACAACGACATTTCCTAATGAGTAATAAGGTGTGTTCAATGACAGTAGATATCAAATGATTATTAGTTAAATTTAAAAGTGTAGTATTAACCATGCGAAGGCTTACCAGAATAAGAAAATAACGGGTGATCCTCGGAATGGTTGTGGAACTTTGACCACATACAAAGTGTGAACTCTTTTAGATCCGGTAGAGCTTTCTCGTATTCTACGTATTGGTAGAAGAGTTCTTGGTTCATAGAAACTTTATATACGCTGCATGAGTCAGACCCCGCAGCTGGCGCCGAATTGTAAATATTAGATAATTTGCTCGGACCGAAAGAAGGAAGACTAGACTGGATTGGTCTACGGTTGATAATCTTTAGCTGGGGGCTGGAATGAAAAATATTATTTTACTAGCGGCTCACCCTCGCTCCGCTGGGGTTTATACCTGGGTATGTTTTAACGGTTAGCATAGATTTTTTAGAAAAGTTTTGTCCCGCAGTAAAAAGTATCCTATAGTTGATTCGGATAACCAGCTATCATCATGCCAAATTTTATCAAAATGAGTCCAGTGGTTTTCACGTGACGCATTCACAGACAGACATACAGACAGATTAAAATTCTGAAAACTAGACTCGATAATAATATTTATTTCAATAAGATTTTCCAAAAAATATTTAATGTACAGATTCGGCTTAGTTATAATTTTATTATATGTTTGGATATAGATTAATCTCTAGGCATATTTTTTAATTACATATATTTCATTCATGCAATATTATGTATTTGTGCATCCATGTAATGAAATTTTTATTACGTTCTATGATTTTTTATAATTAAAATATTATTTCAGATATAGATAAGATAACATAATCATCGTTTCTGTACTTTATACAAATAAACTTCAAATATATAATATACAGATTTTGTTATTTTTAGGACGTAATAATAATGTAGATTACCTTGCATCTAATGATCGTTCTGATGATTTAGAGTATGTGGTGTAGAGTTGTGGTGACTCTGGCACAATCGGCTGCCAGTCGCCCTCATCGGCCCACACTACCGTTAGAATCGCACATAGTATTGTAATTCGCATTTTCTGGAAAAACATTGAGAAAATTATTTATCTCTCTCGAACTTATCGTATTTTAACATAGATTAGCCAGAAAATAAATATATGTAAAATCGTTCAAAATACTACTCGTATATAGTTCTTAGAAATTTTTTCATTCAGAACTGAATACATTTTTTGTTTTAGATATCCATAAAAATGTAAAAGATAATTCAAGAGTAACCTTGTTAGTCAATATCTATATATAGAAAAGGATTTGTCCCTGACTGACTGACGGATCAACGCACAGCCTAAGCTGCTGGTTATGGAAACGTGAAATTTGGAGGACTTATTTGATATAGGCAACTGATAAGAAAGGATTTTTGATTGATCCCCTAAGGGTGTAGAATAGGGGATGAAAGATTGTATGACAATCTGTCATTCTTAATGTGAAATGCACCTGAAGCATTTAGCTTTAAGATAAAAAATAAAAAATATATTTATTAGTTTTTTTTCAAATTGATCCCTTAGGGGGGGGGGGGGGGGAGTGTGATAAAGTTTATATAGGCAAAGAAATTACTTGAAACTTGGTAATAATGTTCTTCAATATAATTAAATAAAAACTTGTTTTAGCATTTTTCGAAATTCATCCCATAAGGGGTTAATAGGGGATCAAAGTTTGTATGAAACTATGTCATTTTTTATGTGAAATGGACGAAAAGTGGTATTTATCTTTAAAATAAACAATAAAACAAAAAAGGTTAAAGGGGTAAAAGAGAGTTGTAATGTTTATATATGTTTTTTTTATGATCAGAATTACTCGAAACTTGGTATAAATCATCTTCAATTGAATTAAATTAACATGTGTTTTAAGTTTTTTTTAATTCATCCTGTAAGAGGTAAAAATGGGTGGTAAAGTTGGTAAGAAAATCTGCCATTTTTATTGTTAAAATTAAGTATTCAGGATAAACATTTAAGAATACATGTTATCAATCAGATAATATCAGTAATAGAAACATAGGTTTGTTGACGTCATCGTGACGCAAATGGATAAAGCAGTTCATTTCCTGTAGAGTTGCTTAACAGTGTTAGATTCTGTAATTCGGCACACCTGTAATGAATAAGCCACCTTAGCAATGTAACAGGACTAAGGTATCAACAACAATGAAGTAATCCATAATGCATTATAGTGGCCACAGTGTTCGCTGCATGTACTCGGGGGAAATCAATATTCATATCTCGAATACCACACACAACCTCAGACTACACCTATCGATTTGTCCTATTGTAAAAATCCCTAAAATTTGCTTTGCAATGACTATTATTAAATCTAAGGGCCAGTTGTAAAAAGTATCAGACATAGACTTTGGCTTGAGATAATTGCTTCTCACATGGATATTTTAGCAGAAGCCAGAACCAGACAGAACATCCACCAATGTAACAATCCACAATACAAAGAAGTTTTTAATTAAATTTTAGATTCTTGTTCCCGACTTTTTAGTATAGACTAAGTTAAGTAAATCTAGAGTGATAACATAACTGTATACATAATATTACAAATTCGATATGAAAACATATGAAGGCTGGCACCGACTTCGAAAATATCTGATTAGGTATCTATAGTAAATGAAAACTCCCATTCGATTATTTTTTATCTTTTAGTGTTTTGATGTCGGTTTTTAATATTTTTGGAAACTTTTATTTTTCCATTTGTTAAACGCTATAAAAACTAAAACATACTCGTATAGGTATACAAACATTATAGAATTTTCTCTAAAAGCTCTTGCATTTATTAATGTAACGACTAACATTGTTTACAATTTGTTCCGTAGTTTGAGCTTTGAGTAGATTTATTCTAACGGACTGTTTATTTATATTTTTCTTTTCGATTGTATTGCGTTGATATAAATAAAACAAAGAAAATTTAACAACATTTTAATTGTTTGATGTTATTGAAATCACAATGCTATTTTTACTATAGAAAATAGCAAAGATTAACATTAAAGTACGAAAGTAAGAATGATTCTAGAGATAAGAGCGCGAGTGATATGACAATCAGCTGTGTGGTACTAGAGGGAAAAGTGGTTATTACGTGTGAGACACGCATCCGCGTTCGCATACGCCGGCAGATTGCTGTGCTTCACTGACCATGCAAGCGGCTGACCGAGAACGCGGGCATTGCGACATAATATGTATTACTTACACCTCGAATGCTCTCAAAAATTATTTGAAACAGACTTGTAGTAATTGAAAAGTAGATTGTTTATTCTGTTCATTCTCTTTTACTTTTGAATTGAATTTATGTAAAGCGCTAATAACCTTTGAACAACATACTTTAATCTAATGGAACGTTATATATATCTAATTAGCAAATAAACTGATATTGATTTATGCTATAATAATAATTCGATCAACTTCGGTCTGAGCGAATTAGAGGTCAGTCGAAGTGAAAACGGAAGCTTTGCTGCTCTATAATCTTATTTACTATGTCAAAGGCTAAGAGATAGTGATGTTATAGCTTTTAACCTGTTTATAAAATCATATTACAGGAACGTGCTATCATACATATACATAACTGGAAGACTCATTGTATTTTTAAGTTAATAAACGTATTAGTATTACTCGTAACTCATCTCAATTAACACGAATCAAAAATAAAGTGAAATATATATATATATATATATATATATATATATATATATATATATATATATATATATATATATAAAGACTATAACACGGCGTGTTACCTACAATTTTATAAAAAATGAATGTTAGCCTTTATGATGGAATAGTAAAAAGGATTCGGTCCTTGCCTTTCGAAATTTGATCAACGGTTCAAACCTGAATGGACAACAGACCGTTACTTTCACATTTATAATATTATTATGTAGGTTTAGCGTTTGCCCGCGGCTGCGTCTATCCAGACGTTTATTTATATATACATAATTCCTCTGGTCGTAAGACTAGAGCGTAGCGTGATCGTAGATAGTCTATAAACTTTCTCATTTCTAATAAGATTAGTAATTTTAGAGATAAGTGCATTTGAACAAACAAAAAACAAACTCTTCGACTTAATAAAGTAAGTATACCTAGATCAGGAAATTTGAAATATTTATTTATGCAATTAAATAGTTTAAAATTTAAATATAATGAGAGTGGCTTATTGCTTATTGAGTAACTGATGCACGAAGCAGTCGTAACAAGAGACCTTTGCGATTCGCTCAGAGAGAATTACAATAAAGTAGAAATATTTAAAATTCAAGTTAAATACTGCTTACATAACTTCAACTAACAATCCAACTGCTTCAGCATAAGTAACTAGAATCTTTCCCACGCTTCGTTAATTTTTCAATTCAAATAAAACTTACTTTCACAATAAAGATATTTTTAAGATATCTATCTATATGTATACTAATATTATAAAAAATATTTTTTGTGTTCGCATGTTTTCCTAATGGATGAACTAAAAATTCGCCGAAAACCGATTTAGATGAAATTTGTTACGAATATAGTTTGAGACCCTGGAATGATTTAGGGTAAGTTATGAATTTCGGAAATCCCTTAAGGGGGTGAAAAGGGAAATGAAAGTTTTATATATAGTCTATAATATTTTCCATACTGACCGTTGAAACGTGTCTAGGAACGAACCCGAGCGAAGCGAGGATGAGACTAGCTAGTATTATATATTTTGGCTTGTTATAACAGATTGTTCAAAAGTGGCTATTTGAAAAAATATGTGGATCCATAACACTTATTTTTATTTTTAAGATATCACCTTATTTTATTTTATGAATTAATCGTTTAATAGTTATTTCGTTCTTGGAAAATTTCAATATTAAATTTAATAAGGTCTTATGATTTTGATATTAATATTTTTGTAAAAGGACTTATGTAGTAATGCTACAAGGGGATTTGCAACAAAGAGTACCTGCAGAAGGATTTATTTAATTAATTAATTGCTTAATGGACGCGAATAAAGTTGTCCAGCATCCAGATTTGTTTGATTTACATCAATTGGATTGTTGCGTTGCACAATCTTATTACGTCGTTTCCATTTTTTATCTTTTGCTGTCGCGAATCCTAATCCTTTGCAGTCGGAATAGCTCTATGTATTAAAATCGAAATATCGATTTTGTACTAAGTATAGGTAATTAATTATCTATCTATGAAAATGAATTTATAATCTGAGCTGCTTTCTTGGCTGTGTTGGTTGGTATTTATATTTTAGGTATTTATTAGATTTATGACAGTGTTAGGTATATTATATGTAACGTCATTTGAAAAAAGAAATTCAAGAATTTATTTTGATTAAAAAGATAGGTAAAATAGAGAAAAATATATAATAAAAATATATAGATAGATAATAGATTGTTTACCCAGTTTTGAATTGAATGAATAATTTATATTGCAAATAACATTGATTAAGACAGTGACCGGTAGATTTTTAGATCGTTTAATGTTATTCATTCCAGCAAAGACGTTTTTTAGCCTTACAACGCTTTTCGCTGGGTGGCTACTTTGTTTAAACTACATTAAGTTAGTTTCTAAAATATGATCCTTACTTTCAAAGAAATTCATACTCTCCTTGAATAACAATAACTCTATTTAAAATTGAACTAGATTTTTTAGCAACCAAAACATGGTAACAATTTTAATAGGTATTTAATTCTCAAACAATCGAAGAATGTAAGGTGACTGCAAATCGGTAAGAGAAATTACTCAAGCTTACGCAATGCATTTCCGGGTAAGGGGGTTCTTACTTAGTAGACTAGAGTAGCAATAGATTGCGGCAAAGGTTTATACACTTTTGAGACGAATGAACAATTCTGAAGCAATATATTCCTATTTCAGTAAAATTGTCCTTACCATCAATAATGACATCAAAGCGTCTAGATTTAGTATTTCTACAAAATAGTCTAAATTTAGCACCTGAAAGCCGAATATCTATCTGAATTCTGAAAGTGAATATTAGAATTCTAGTTTACTCGATACGGTACCTTGAATGCTGCTTGAATGTGCTTTTGCTAATAATCTGCTATTTG